GGGGGGGGGGGGGGGGAATAGACGGAGTCTCACGTGTTTCGCTAGATAAGAAGAACGGTAGCGGTATCGTTGGACGTATACTTCGATACTATCTTTCGACCTCGCATCTTACCATTAACCCTCGTGTTTACCAGCCACCCCCAAGCCCTCATCCCTTCCTCTGTTTCTATCTCGACTGCTGTGGTTAGCATACGGTGGTTGAATCAGCCTTTGTTCCGAGTTTGCATGTAGTCAACCGCGCTCTAACTCCTCGGCGTTTTCCCTGTGCTGCGGGGGACGACAGGGCGAGAGAAGAGGAGGGGTCGCCGGTGTGCCTTCTGGCCGGAACAGAAGATGGGCAGATAGTGTTCCTCGACCCACCCTGTGAGATAAATTTCCCTGGCCACGTGAGAGCGGGTCGTGTTGAGTACAGAGCCCACTACAACTAGGACTTCGATAACGTGGTAGATATGATGAACAAGGGTTGAGACCACCTCTCAAAGAGCGTTTGTTCATCAAAATATCGAAGAGCGGCCGAGGTAGGAAGGTTGACGGAGATCGTAACAACCGAAATGTTTAAAAGACCTTGTCAATCTTAAGTTGCAACGCGAACGTGATCTCCTTTCTTGTCTCTCTTCTCCACCCGCGCTCTCCGCCCCGTCCCCCTGTCACCCTTTCTCTCTCGCGAGCACAGGCAAGGTCTTGACAACGGCCCAGCTTCCACGGGGCGCTGTGCCGGCGTTCCTGGCCGTGGGGGGCTTGTTTGACTCGGATTGGAGGCTAGCCGTGGCCTGCAGAAACGGGCGCATCTATACGGTCAAGGTGCGCCCGCATCTACAGTAGTGCGTGGTAGAGAATAGCGGTCTACATGTAGCCGCCTGCTGCTACCTTGTACTCATTCGTTGCCGCAGCCACGGACGCGAAGCTTCATCATGAACGCCAAACGACTCAGACGCGATCTAGAGCACAAGCGGCAACTTCCCTGGTGTCAAACAGGGACTAGACGGGTGTGACGGTGGTCCGTTCTGGCTTGCTGCACCGGAATCTCCAAGTCATCGCGAGGAGGGCGCACCTGACATTTCGTCTCAGACTTTGAGACAAGCAAGATCTAGAGCAGGCGTGCGTGACATGCCGTCTCGAGTAGTGCTCCCAACCATTTTGCTGGATGGAGTAAACTCTACCAAATGAATTCCTCAATCTTTCTAGGATAGCTCGGAACTGTTGTTCGCGAAAAGTTCGCTCGCACGGCTATCTCAAATGGAGTGCAGCGACGATGGCGAACGCAACACCAGTAGTCCAGCGACTGGTAACCTTGCCCAATTCGTCTCGCTCCCGTGTGCCTCGGCCAGGACGGGGAGGTGGCGAAGACGGCCGTAGTCACCGGTACTGTCATCAGCCTGGAGGCAACGCCCTGCGGCCTCGCAAGACTCCCCACACAGGTAGGTGCCTTGTAGCTTGTACAAGCTTCGAGAAGCGTTCTTCGCCTCTTGCGAAGTCCCGCCGTGTTGCCGGCAAGCCTCTCGATAGAGTGACTTGATCATAGCCACGGAAGGACTCCTCCGCCACCCATACGTCCCGACGCTGCTGTTGCATGCATACAATCTGGGCCAGCCAAGAAGCTCACTTTCGTTATTTCGCGTCTCATGCTGTCGTTTCCACGAAATTAAGCTTGAAATTTGGTGGTTTCTCTTTTGAGATATCAGGGAAAACGCAGATGCCAGAATTTTTTGAATCCGAGTTGATTTAGGTATTACACGATCAATTGGCGGCATTGTGGGGGATACGTTCGGAACTGAAATCAGCTCTTAAAAAGTTTCACAGAGTAAGGTGAAATTTGGTGTGCGCTTCCCTGGAAGCATTGCGAGAAAAATGATGGTAGTCGCAAGGCTCACATCATCTTCCATCAAGAGTTATGGCCTCGAAAAGAATCCGATACAAAGCACAAGATAGTTAAGGACATGCGAGGATATCGCACAATACATCACGATTTTTTAGAGTTGGAATCTGAAATTTTGACATACATGTGGTTGTATTTCAAAAACCAATACCACTGCTAGTCGTACTTTTTTCTTTTTGCTTTTTTGGTCCTCCTATACACAACAGTAGGATTCCCATTTTTCCTTTAATGGGGCTGCTTCATGAAAAGAAACAGAAAACATAAAGTACGGCTAGCAGTTGTGTGTTAAGGAGGACCCGATTCGCAGGGTATCCGTCGATTGACTTTTACCTGAATCAGTACACCTTCGCATATGGCGTCAGCGGCAGGATACTGGTGGTTCGAATCTCCTTGGGTGCACACTTTTTCTCCTGACTTGGACATTTTCCCATGGACACAATGTGTGTCAGTCCTGAGAACACCTCTTGGAGTCGATATTACAAAGAACCTTGTGACACTTCCATCGAATTACCCATCCTGGCCACAAGAGGTTCCCAGTTGAGGGTAATTCTGTGGGTGGAGAGTGTTACGGAGGACCCGATTCGCAGGGTATCTGTCGATTGACTTTTACCTGAATCGGTACACCTTCGCATATGGCGTCAGCGGCAGGATACTGGTGGTTCGAATCTCCTTGGGTGCACACTTTATGCGAAGGTGTACCGATTCAGGTAAAAGTCAATCGACAGATACCCTGCGAATCGGGTCCTCCTTAACACTCTCCACCCACAGAATTTACCCTCAACTGGGAACCTCTTGTGGCCAGGATGGGTAATTCGATGGAAGTGTCACAAGGTTCTTTCTTCGTAGGATCGACTCCAAGAGGTGTCCTCAGGACTGACGCAACTTGTGTCCTTGGGAAAATATCCAAGTTAGGAGAAAAAGTGTGCACCCAAGGAGATTCGGACCAGTATCCAGCTTACACCATATGCGAAGGTGTACCGATTCAGGTAAAAGTCAATCGACGGATACCTTGCGAATCGGGTCCTCCTTATCATGTATTTGTTGTACTAATACGAACCACATGTCAAAGCTTCAGGTTCCAACTCGAAAAAACCATGGTGTATTTGGCTTTCAACCATTTCGTTAGCTTCTTGGCTGGCCCAGCTTGTAGCACTATCGATTCGATCTCCTCAACTACTGCTAGAAAATAGCCGTTGGCCTGTGCGAGCTATGCGCGTCATCCCCCCAAAGGCTGCTACAACATCTCCCTCTTCCTTCATCCCTCACATTATCCATGGCGCTGGGTGGTAGGTGTACGCCGCAACTACGGACAACAACCTCCATGCTTACCACCTCAAAGGGCGGAGGGATTTCTCTATCAAGATGCCGTCCCTCGTGGTTCAGCTGGAAGCGATGGAGACCAGGTGTGGTGCTTCCAGCCAGGACAAGTCCAATGTAGAAATTGGAACCAATCGGCCGACTAAACTTACTCGCGCACGACCGGTAGACGGTCGCGTGTACTGTAGATTGGGCTCTCGGCGTGTTCACTATTTATTGTCCATAATTTCAAAAAGAAGATGTAGTTGAAGTCCACCACGAAGATGTGAGGTTGTTATTGTTGTTGTTGTTGTTGTTGTTTTTGTTGTCGTCGTCGTCGTCGTCGTCGTCGTTGCTGTTGATAGTGCTACGGCCGTCGTCTGAATGCTCGAGGATGATGCAACCCGAAACGTTCAAGGTCGACCACGTGCCTCTTGGTAGCCCTGGCGGACGGCAACGTTCGCCTGTACGATGCCGAGAAGAACCTGCTGCACACACTAAAGACGCAGGAGCCGATAGCGGCTCTGCGATTTGGACCCTACGCCAGAGAAGACGGCGCGCTCGCCGTCGTGTCCGTAACAGGTACGACAAGAACAGTCGATAGAATGTTCGCATGCTGTACGCGTGTGGTTGGGGTACTTGATTCCTCTTCATAGGTTGCCGCCGTCGCTTCCCCGTGATGAGGGTGTTGGAGATAATGGGGAGAAGTGTTTCGGGTTTGTCTGCCCCTGCATCCGTGTTTATTCGCGATGTCATCTGTAACACCATGCACCATGCGAAGGAGAAGGCCAGCGTCGACAACAATCGCCTGGTTGGGATTGCTCTGGTGCTCCGTGCTATGTGTGGAACATCAACGACCTGATCATTGCCCCCTCAAATACTGACGCTTCATTGTTTTTGCACTCACGCAAATATGATTCCAAAAAAACTTTCACTTGTTTAATTAATACCGTCTGTTCGTCGCGGTAACTCCCTGTGTGCCGGCGTGCGCAGGGAAGCTGACCATATTCATGCTGAATCGCAAGGCTGATCTAAGGAAGCCCAAAACGCTTGGGGCGGCCACGGCTGGCTATCCGCCGGAACAGGACATCCCGCTCAAGGTTCTGTGTCCCTTTCTCATTATGTTGTATTTTGTCGCGCATTGCGTAGTGTCGTGGGCGGTGCTGCCGCGGAGAGCCGACAAGTTTGGTGGGATTTAGCACGTGGCCTAGACTATTGCTCCGTGGGGAAAAACGCTGTCCATCGCAAGCATGAAACCTACCGCAGAGGACCCTACCCATCACCTTGATCGTAAAGGCGCGTGGTACTCGACGACCCACACAAACGCCGACGCGGCACAAAAAAATAACGCAGGTCCCGAAGAAAACCAAGCTGTACGTGGAGCAGACGCAGCGCGCGAAGCTTCAGGCCGGGGAGATCCACCGGGCGTTCCAGAAGGACCTCTGCCTCCTCAGGCTCACCGCCGCCCGGGCGTATGTTAAGACCATCACGGACGGCCGGCAGGGAGTGAGCGCGGTCGGGGCGGCGGCATCGTTAAGGCTGCATGCCCAGTGCCAGGGGCTGGTGAGATGGGACTGACTGGCAGAAGAGGGTGTGGGCGTTTTAGCCACACAACCGGAGGAACGGCATCGGCGGGCAGTTTAGGAGTGAATCTGGAACATCTCCTGTCTGCTTGTGAAGAAAAACGCTGAGAATTTAGGGAAACTGTCACTTCAGTGTGCAGTGTCTCCGCGTGGATGGTAAAGACAACAGGCCTTGCACAGCTGTTGAGAGCACAGTTATGTGGGCTACACAAAGCGCGTGCACTATTATACACGTCTCTAAGGCCGAAGACATGATGTACTTCTGTGGCAGCCTGTGGTTGATGCGTTCCATCCTCGGAGCACAACCAATTGGTACTCGAGTCGTCCCCCGCCCCCGCTGACCTCCTCACCCTGCTTCGCGTCAAGGGCCCGAATTTCAAGATAAAGCTGGAGCTTCAGAATCAGGGGAACCGAGCGCTTACAAACCTCCCCGTGGCGTTCACGTATGACCGAGACATCTACGCTATGGAGAAGGGCCAGTTTATGGTGTCCGCGTTGATTCCGGTGAGCTTGCGCTTGAATGAGTGACCTTGCTCTGCTGTTCGACCCGTGCTTGTTCAACGGGGTTCCACCCGTCGGTGTTGACTCGATTTGGGATTTGTTTGGGGAGAATTTTCTTGCCAATCCTAATTGGTGGCTATGGCGAGGCGCGCCCAAGGCCTCAGAAATAGAAACGTGCTCAATGAAGGTTTTCGAACGTGCTCAATGAAGGTTTTCGACTCTGTTATTCGTCACGAATACACATCGCGTCAATACCCAATTCCGATACAGGTTGGGGTCCCTACTGGAAAAAAATATGAAATATTTGTTTTTCCAATGCCTTTCCACTTGCAACGCAGGGCGTCTCTTCCCGTCATGAGATCACCATCACCAACATAGACGAAGGTGGGGCGGCGGGTTCCGTGAGAATACTGGTGCTCAGCCCTTCCGGGCCCTCGCCTTTGGTCTCGGCCGTTGTCAACATGCCTCTCAGCGAGCTTATCGACTCCTAGCAAGCCCGATCGGACCATGAGAGGAGCCGTGGTTGAAGACCTCGGGGTGGTTTTGTCTCAACAAACACAGTAATAGCAACTTTGATTGCTTGAAGTTCCACTCGAAATGCCTGAATCCAACATCGTGGCTCTTCGATTGAAGCATCAAATCCATAAAACCTCGCATGCGGGATCGCTTGTGATACCCAAAAAATGCCGACCCGTGTTGCAGATGCCGCCGATGTGGATGTACGATGTTGGTCTCTCTCTCTCTCTCTCTCTCTCTCTCTCTCTCTCTCTCTCCCTCTCTCTCTCTCATTCGCTCGGCAACGTGTTCTGCCAAACGGCCAAGGAAACCTTACATGCATATCCAATCAATCAAAAGAGAACTGCCACAAAGAAACTCCGTGCTTGATCGGTGGGTCTTCTGGCGCCATGACGTGTCCCCCACAGCCCATTCTTGCACTCCTATCAAAGATTGCGCGCCACTCAATGAACAACTGCGTGAGAGGTCTCGCCAGAGTAGTGGGGGGCATGTCTCCTGCTGAATCTAAACTTTCCACCCAACCAAGTAAACTCCACCAAGTGAGCGATATCACCAGTTTAAGTCGTCAATAAACTGCCATACACATTGACGCTGCAACATACGCATCCTCTACAATGAAAACAGAACGAGGAGATAAGTCACTTCTAAAGCACCATGTCTCAATCCTCGTCCACCGCAGAGTATGCGGTGAGGCACCGGCGTTGATGATGAACCTTCCGAGTTTCGCAGTTTCAATGGCTATGATCTGTTCCTACCTATTCTCCATCACAACAGTAGGGTTCTCCACGAGCCAGACTGGTTGGTGGGCGGTGCCGTTTGCACGGGGTAAAACACTACAAGTTGTTCAGGGAGTACTACTACAAGAAGTACCGTGAACGCCTCTACCACCAACGCGAGGTCTGAACGCGGGCCCCTTGGACTTGGCCTGTGAGAGGTGTGTGCACGCGATGAAAACGAAGGAGGAAGAATCAAAAGGCAGCGTAGAGGAAATGAACAGCAGGACCGAGGTTGCTTGGACCGCATCGTTGCACCTGCTGAGTGGGTTCATTTAGTGAAACAGCACGTCGTCCATGGGCATCCCAAATGAAGTACATATTGGCGATATGGAGAGGCACTCAGTTTGTTCGTAGGCGAGTATAGGCTTAGGTGTTTTCCTCTGCTTTGATTGGCGACAGACAAAAAAATCAATTTGACGGACGCATTGGTCAGCAATCGTTTGGAAAGCTCGCCTTCATCCCTCTTCCATACGTCAAGGCAAGCCTTCTTCCAGTGAAGTGAGTTGCTCCGGATGAATTTAGTGGTGCTGGTGCTGCCAGTGCTGCTGGTGCTGCTTGCAGGGACGAAGAAGGTGTATCATTCACGTTGTACGGGAACGGCCGGAGATCGGAGAAAGTGCATCCCAACGTCTGGAGAGGGTTTTTGTGCAAAACTGTTCCTCATCCTGCGGCCAATAATTTCTTAAGAGTATCTACTGCGAGTGACATGACTGACGTGAGAGAGTACCGGAAATTGCGAGATAATCTTTGAAGCACCTAACGCCTCGCTCCGGGCAGAAACCCGTGCAGTGTGAACCTGGACGGCCGTATCGCCGTGAAAACTCACTCGGACACTCACTGTGTAATAACGGTGATTTTTTTTTGTCAGGGTCAACGACCCCCAGCCATATGCTGATTTCAGAAACCAAACGACAGAACCCATGTACCCGAGACACACAACGGCTCTACGCCCGCGTGTCATAAGAGCACAGGAGCAAGGAAAATTAGAGCTTTCGTTTCCATTTCGGTGTGTATTGATCGAAGAATATCGTATTGGCCAGCTGTGTGGCGCAATGGTGGGGCCTCACCGTTGTTCCACCAGCCACAGGCGCAGGAAATACTTCTTCCAGTGGATGCTAGTGCGACTCTGGGTCGCAGTGATGCCAGGGCCGCTACACGTAGACATTGTCAGTTGTGAAAGGAAGGGAGTGAAAGACGGTAGGGCAGGTCGACGAGGAGAGTGAATTGTTTGATTAAAATAAGGAAACGGATCATGGTCTGGATCAAATTCCCCCTTGGGGTGGACGGTCGATTCCTCGTCCAATAAATACGCATGCACTTAGACGTGGTAAGTACATTTGCGCTGCGAATTCAATCATCTCGGACACGATCAACAGGTGGTTAGAGATGTGGTCGTACGTACGGACTACAGGTAGAAAAACAATCCTCAGCCATTCTCCACGCTTTGAAACTACTGAACTTGCGACCTACAACCCGGGTTTCTTGTGGTACTGCTTGCCGTCCTCAGCTCTCCCACGCACACGGGGCTTGCAGATTGATAATCCAGCGCAGGGGCATCGGCCATCTCATTTCCTAAATGCCCAAACGGTCGTAGTGTATGGTGCTACTGCAGGCGAGCCAAGGCCGAATGATTACCACAGGCAACGAGACGTTGAAAGTATTGGCAAGGCACGGTCATGTCGACACCCCACCCACACACTCACTTGGTGTGGTTGTGCTTTCCCCGCTTCTTCTGCCTCTCGAAGGAGACGGTAGAGGACGTCGCACGTGACCGCACCAGATCTGCCTTGACCGACACAGGGTGGTGTTTCGCTCGCTTCTTCGGCCTCTCGGAGGAGACGCTAGAGGAAGTCCGAGACGACTGCACCCGAGGTCCCTTCGTCGACGCAGCCAAACCCAACAAATACATAAACTCTCATCGAAGTTGACCAGGGGAGCCAGGCGTGAGCCTTTCGAATGAATCACGCGATTGACCTTCTCGGTGTTGCTATTGTCGAGGCATTACAGTAGTTTTATTTTCCGTGGCCGGTGTCCTGTGGCGCGAGGGCTCTGCAGTAGACCCTCCTCCTGAACGCAGGCAATAATAACTACACATTCTTGGCGGGAACAAACTTTTTACCTTGTGCTTAGCGGCATTTTTCCTCTTGGACTGCTTGGCATCGTCAACATTCTCTGCCGAAGCCTTGAGCCTCTGGACAAAGAGGTTCGACGTCTGCATGCTGATTTCCGCATTTCCTGACTTGAGCCACCTGCCTCGCGCACTGGAGTTGAAGCGGTTCTTGATGTCGTTCGCCGTTCTTCCAGGGAAGACGCACCGGGAGATCTCACACCAGCGAGGGCCGAAGAATTTCTGTGATATTAGTGGTATGACGATGAAAAGCAAGCTTGAGGGCTATTTTCATTTTGATACACGAGACAAGGGCCACGATTGAGCGCGTCGGGTTTCACTCTCCTTAAGTACCCGCGGCATACACAGGCTTTTCCCGAACCAATTATTGCACAATAGATCTTCACCAATTCACCTCACGAAAGTCTAAGTTGTTTTCTCCGTGTTTGCATACCGGAGAAGTACAAAGGAATTCAAAAACAACACTGAGTTTGAGTTTGTCGGGATCGCTGTAATACGTAATATGTACTTCTAGGTAGCACGCAACACCCCATTTTTACGTTTATTGAAGCGAAACCAATCGCCATCTAACAACGCCGTTCACTCCAAATTTTTGACCTGGGCATGAAATAGTACGTCTTCCTCCTGGCTTGTCCATGGAGCCTTCTTCAGTGTCGGGCTGAGATGGTTGAACCAGCGTTCACGGCACTGCTTGCCCATCCTCCCGGGAATGTACGAGGCAATTTTACTCCACTTCATGCTCTAGTGGGTGGCGTTTGTGCCCGGTAATAAACACGATCGAAGGAGAGGCGTGGGAGACAAGAGGACACAACCGGACGGAGAGCACGAAGGCACAATAATGTGAAAAAATATTTTTCCATTTAGTTTCAGTAATGGAAATCTTACACGCCCGATGATGTGGGTCGCATCACAGCAGCATGTCGCATGTGCTGTGGTTCATAAAAGACGGGACTTGGATTGGGCGGGTTGCAAGGGCGGGTTGCAAGGGCAAAATCTGGCCGTGAATCGCACCTACCTCTGGAAGTGCCGTGGCGGATTGTACCGCGTCAACCAAGGCAGCGTCCTCGGATGGCGTCCAGTGGCCTTTCATCACGCCAGGCTCCAGGACTTTCTTCCACCTTTCGATTTCAATATGCGTTCGTTTTCCGGAGACACGTTCTGAAGAGTTTCAGAAATTGGCGCTATCCGCATATATACACAACACGTTCATATTACCCCAGGAAACGTTTGATCAACAAATGCACAAGACGGCCGTCGACGAGAAGTCTCGAAAAGCAATGCGTTCTGCAGGCGGAGAGCATCGATGCGTCAAGCCGGAGGAAGTCATGATCTTTTCTTGTTGTTTCCTGCCATGGCAAAAATCTCCCCCCTGCCCGGAAATCACGAGAGGAAACCAGTCGAACGAACACGAACAGTGGACAAGGGTGTACCCACACGAACGGCGAAGCAATACAATGAGTCCAGAACAGGAAAGGAGTTTTTTTTTGTAGGGGAATTGGATTTGAAAATTCATCTCTACAGAATTTTTTGCAGCAGCACCACTGCTTTCTTTTTGATATAATCGCGTGCCTATTTGGTCTACCTCACGACCTTGGCCCCAGCAGTCAAAGTGTACGATCCGGGATCACACCGAAGATTCCTCAAAGGTGCACGCCTTCCCTACTCCGAGGTTAAGATACAGCCGCTGGAGCTGCCGATACAGCCTACCTCCTACACCAATAGTAAGTGTAGTCCATGTACTTTTGCGGGGAGTCTTGGGCAACACATACGAAGGGAAAATCCAACCAGCTTCGCCTTCATCTCTATCACGTGGTGCTCAAGCGATACCTGTGCAAACATTGCGCCGCGTTCCTGCCGTACACCATGGGAGACTCGCCCCGCGCGATCGCCTTGAGTGTAAGCTTCTGGTGCAGGGCAGCCATCGAGGAGTTGAGCTCACGGGCCTTTCCTTTCCACCCCCCCTCGCCGTCTCGGACCACGATTGCTCGCAAAACCTTATCCTCCTCAACTGCAGAAGTAGACGTTGGCAAGTTTCTTGGATGATGCAAGTGATATTGTAACCAGATAAAATTAGAGGGTAGGTCGGTGAACGAACGGGCAGGACACTTACACCAGTTAAAAACCTAGGAGGGCTGTGACTGGTAATGCTGGAGCTGCGTTGGCTCTTCTCGGCTCCTCCTTTCATCGAACGTTTTTCCCGTCATGCCTCTATTTATTCTTTTGTATACAAGAAGCCCGGATTCTACAGCAATGCAGCTACACTACAGTGGAAGAAGGGACTGGATTTGTTGACAAATATCTTTGAGAGATCTTCCACAACGAATACTTTTAATATTCGCTTCACTTGTACTATTGAACAATTCAATTGCTCTCACGTAGCCAGGCCCCTCCAGTCGCCTTCCTGCCACCACCGTGGTTAAGGTTGCGGGACGTAATGTTGTTCACGATATCCCGGATGTGCTGCTCGCTTTCCGACGGGAGAGTGGCCGGACCTTGTCCTTCGGTGACTGGATTCGAACGAATGGTGGCATCAACCCGGGAACCGGAATCCCCCACAATCATCGTACCCAAAATGTTGGGGTGAAGAACGTTGAACATTTGTAACGGTGGCGGCATCAAAGGGCAAGGGGAGTACACACAAAGTTAAGACCTATGGCCACGGCCAACAAACGGTCTTCAGGGTGGGGTATGAACGGTAACGCACTCGCTCACAGAGCTATTTAATTCAACGTTCTTCTCTATCTTTCCGTCAGTATCAGTTGCCGGCGTATCACAGTGTGCCCTACTCGCCGAGATATTTCGATTGGATGAAAATGGATCTACAGTGGGTTCGTAGCTCCAACCTTTGACTTATTTACAACCCAGTGATTATCACGGCCGTGCATCGCAGTACTTTGGAGTTACCCGACTCAAGACACCCTCGGCACCGCGGCCTGTGCGGCCTTTCTTTCGCCGATCTTTGGTGTGCTTGGGGATCGCACCTTCGTCCCGGCTGCTGACTGATTGTTTGTTTTTAGATCCTGAAGGCATACTGTGACGAAGCTCAGAGTCAATGGTGGCCGACGCAAGTGTTCTTTGGAGCACACAGTTGTCGTCGAGCTCTACCACCAATCATACACTTCGAACCCGGGTACGACAGGTTGGTTGTGGCCGGGAAAGAAAGGTTGTGCAGAGCTTCTGTCTGGTTTGACGTTTCAACCTGTGCACGCGCCACATTTTGGTCGAAGGTTAGCCATGTTCTTGTTTCTTGTCCGTTTCGCATTTCTCTCTCCCTCTCCCTCTCCCTCTCTGTCTCTGTCTCTGTCCGTCTCTGTCTGTCTCTGTCTGTCTCTGTCTCTGTCTGTCTGTCTGTCTGTCTCTCTCTCTCTCTCTCTCTCTCTCTCTCTCTCTCTCTCTCTCTCTCTCTC